AAATAAGCACCAACCTGCATTTAGAATAATGATTGTTAGAGCTGGGCATGGGTGGCTCATGCCTATAACCCTAGCTACTCAGGAAGCTAAGATCTGAGGATCTCAGTTCAAAGCCAGCCTGGGCTGGAAGTGGAGCTGTGCCTCAAAAGAGCTCAAGGACAGCGCCCAGGCCTTGAGTCCCAGCCCCATGATATACACTAAAAAAAATTTTTTTTGAAAAAAAAATGAAAGAAAGAGTAGTGATTGCTATGGTAGGGGGTAAAAAAAAAAAATGATGTTGGGTACAAAGTGTTAAAACACAAGATAGAAAAAGGAGTAATTCCAGTGTTCTACAGTACAAGGGGATAGCTACAGTTCACAATAACCTATGTATTATCTAGATATCTAGAAGACAAAAACTGAATGGCTTCAAGCATAAAGAAGTGAACAGTTTATGTAACAGTTAAAATATTTTTAACAGTAATAATGTTCATTTATTTTTTTATTATTAGTAGTAGTAGTAGTTTTTATTGTGAGAATACCATACAGAGGAGTTACAATTACATGGGCAAGATAATGAGTACATTTCTTATCAAGCATTGTTGCCTCCTCATTGTTTCCCCTTCCCATACTCCTCCCCTCTCCCTTCGTGATCCTACCCCCACGCCCCACCAAAGTTTTTAAGTTCGTTTTTCAACAGAACAACTTGTACATCTCATTGTTGCAATGGGTCCACCTGTATCCCTACTTAAACGATTTGTTATTTTCCCTTCCCCTCCACAAATTACACCAACATCAAAAACAGTGAAAGTATGGGTTATACTGTGGGGGAGGGACATACAAAACAACAAAGAAATCATCTTATAATAGAAACAATTGCATGAAAGGGAAAAAAACAAAAAACATTTGAATACTTATCTTGGGGTTCAATCCCCCTAACATCAACTTATCTGACCTTTTCTGCTTGATTCACAGATATACTAGTTATTGCAAATAAGGGAAACCATGGGACCTATGTTTCTTTGGGCCTGGCTTACTTCACTTAATTTAATTTTTTCCAAGTCTTTCCATTTCCTAACAAATGGAGCAATGTCATTCTTTCTGATGGAGGCATAGAATTCCATTGTGCATATATACCACATGTTCTTGATCCATTCATCTACTGAGGGGCATCTGGGTTGGTTCCGTATCTTAGCTATGGTAAATAATGCTGCAATAAACATAGTCATGTTGGTAGCTTTAGTGTGGCCTTGTTTGTGATCATTTGGATAAAATCCCAAAAGTGGGATTGCTGGGTCATAGGGGAGCTCTATGTGGAGTCTTTTGAGGAACCTCCATACTACTTTCCAAAGTGGTTGAACAAGTTTACACTCCCACCAACAATGCAGTATGGTTCCCTTCTGTCCGCATCCCCTCCAGCATCTGTTGTTATTAGAGTTCTTGATTTTTGCCATTCTAACTGGGGTGAGGTGGTATCTCAATGTTGTTTTGATTTGCATTTCTTTTATGGCTAGAGAGGTTGAACATTCAGTTAAAATATTTTTATTTGGCCAGGCACTAGTGGCTCCCATCTGTAATCTCAGATACTCAAGAGCCTGAGATCTGAGAATCAGTTTAAAGCTAGCCAGCGCAGTAAAGTCCATGTGACTCTCATCTCCAATTAACCTTCTGGCCTTCCCCAGAAAGGCCAGAAGAGGAGCTGTGACTCAAGCTGTAGAAAATTAAACTTTAGTGAAAAAGCTCAAGCATAACACCCAGGTCCAAGCCAGGTGACAGGTGACAACAGCAACACCACCAGCTGAAAAACATCCTGATTAAAGTATATGCATGTGTGAAATAATACACTGAGACTGGTTTGGGGAGGGGGGAGTGATAGAGGGAGTTCACTCTATGCACATAAAGACATATCAAAAAGAAACTCCTTTGCACACAACTAATTAGTGGTAATAATGTGGGGATTTTTTTTTAAAGTAGAGTTGGGGTGTGGCTCAAGTGCCACAACATTGATCTAACAGAAAGCTTTTATCCACTGTGTAAAGAGCCATCGAAGTCAACTTAAAAAAAAAAAGGTCAAATGTGTGTGTGTGTGTGTGTGTGTGTATACACAAGCTAAAACTTAGCAAAATCTGTAAATTAACAACAAAAGACCAGCAGCAGAAAAATGCAAATAAAAACAAAATGAGAAAACAATGTTTACATATGAAATAGCTGAGATTAAAAAACACTGACCCAAACTCAGTTTGTTGGTAGCTCATGCCTGTAAATCCTAGCTACTCAGGAGGTAGAGATCTGAGGATGGCAGTTCAAAGCCAGCCTGGGCAGGAAAGTCCATGAGACTCATCTACAATTAACCACCAGAAAACCAGAAGTGGCGCTGTTGCACAAGGGTAAGAGAGCTTGCCTTGGGCTGAAGAGCTCAGGGACAGGGCCCAGACCCGGGGATGGGGGCGGGGGGGGGGGGCAGACGGGACCTAAAACCATTCAAATATCAGAAGAAAATATAACTGAATTGCTCTATAACTTGGGAATGAAAAAATTACTGTCCTATGATTCAAAATGCAGTACAATATAGGAGAAAGATGGTAAAGTTAATGGTTAACTTAAAAACTTATATGTGAGCAAAAATGAACATATAAAAGTTAAGCAACAAATCAAAAATAATGATACCTGCAACTTACATCTCAGATAAAAGATAAATATAATAATACATAAATACAGCTACATAAAAAAGAAAAAGAAAACAATGGTCAATAGAAAAATTGGCAAGACATATTCACAAAGGAAAAATGTAAATTTTAAAAAACACCTAAGTTTACTAAGCAAACTAAAAATTAAGATTGCACTAAGATAGTGTCTCTCCTATACGATTAGCATAAAGTCTAAGACCAAAAAAAACAAAGGTTTCTCAATAATATCCTGTTGAGATGAAAGCAAAAAGTAGTTCAAATTCCTCCAAAAATCACTCAATAATCCCACTTTAAAGGAATCTATAAAGAATAACTAACAAAAATAAAAAACGTTCCAGAGATTGTTTACTGTGTTTACTCAAACTCTGAAACTGATTAACTGGAATAAATCTATGACTGAGTAAAATTTGCCTACCTCAATAACAAAGATAAAAGCCATAAAAGAAAAAAATGAACACAATTGAAATTCAAAACTTTTCACTTCAAAAACACACCAGTCTATGTCTTTTCACAACAAAGTAAAAATTTAAGGCACAGACTTGCAGAAGATATTTCTAAATTATACATGTAATAAAGGATTGTATCAAAAACAAAAAAAACACTTGCAATTCAATCTTTAAGACTCAATTTTAAACTGGGTAATAGCTTGAATAGACATTTCTGAGAATATCTATAAATAGGTAGTACATTCATGAAAAGATGACCAACTTCCATTAATTACTGGGGAAATACAAATAAAAAACCTAATATGAGACTTCACACAAAAGTGACACTGAAAAATTAGGCACTTTAAAAATGCTGACACAATGAACATAAAAAAAACTAGAATCCTCATACATTACTGGTAGAGATTATAATATAGTATAGCCACTGGAAATTGCTTTTGGCAGTTTCTCAAAATGGCAAATATTGATTTACCCTAAAAGCTAGTAATTCTATTTCTGAGTATCTAGCCAAAAGAAATGAAAACATTACCTCTACACAAAAACCTGTACACAAATGATCGTGGCAGCTTTATTTACAACAGCCAAAAAGTAAAAGAAACCCACCAACTGATGAATAAATAAAATGTAATACATTCATAAAATGGAATAGCAATAGTAAATATGGGTGTAAATATTCATGCTACAACATGAATGAACCTTTACAAAGCATGCATGAAAGAAGCCAGTCAAAAAAAAAAGACCAGGGTTGCTCCCACCTGTAATCCCAGCTACTCAGGAGGCTGATATCTGAGGATTCAAAGCCAGCCCAGGCAGGAAAGCACCCAAGATTTATCTTCAATAAACTACTAAGAAAAAGCTGAAATGCCAATGTGGCTCAAGTAGTAGAATGATAGCCTTGAGTATAAAGAGGCTCAGGGACAGTGTCCAGGGGTCCTGAGTTCAAGTGCCATGATGAGCAAAAGCAGACCACATATTTCATGGTTTCATTTACATGAAATATCCAGTGAAGACAAATATAGACAAAAAGCCTAATAGTGGTTGCCAACAGAATTAAGGTGAACGTGGTTTCATTGTGGAAGTCAGACATGTTCTAAAACAAGATTGTAGTGTTCCTTTGCATAATTAAAACAACTGAGGCTTACTTAAGGGCTTTTGGGGATGGATGCCCATTCTAGGGCTGGACTGAGGCTGAGCCTCCAATTTTCAATCAGCTTTTTCCACTCATGGTTAGTACTTTACCACTTGAATCATGACTCTACTTCTAGTTTTTTCTGAATCTCGAAGATTTGTCTACCCTCAGATGTCAGTCTAATTGAGTAGCTAGGATTATAGACATGAACAACCAATGCCCAGCTACATGTCTTCCCTCCTTCCCTCCCTTCCTTCCATGGGGCACACTGTCCCTGAGCTCTTCAGCTCAAGGCCAGCACTCTACCACTGAGTCTCAGTACCACTTCCAGCTTTCTGATGATTAATTGGAGATAAGAGTCTCATAGACTGTCCTCAGATCTCAGCCTCCTCAGTAGCTAGAATTACAGGCGTGAGCCACCAGTGACCAGGCTCTTTTTTTTTTTTTTGGTTGGTCATTGGGCTTGAACTCTGGACCTGGGCACTGTCCCTCAGCTCTTCAGCTCAAGGCTAGTGCTCTACCACTTGAGCCACAGCGCCACTTCTGGTTTTCTGAGCGGTTTATTGGAGATAAGAGTCTCAGGGCCTTTCCTGCCCGAGCTGGCTTTGAACTGCAATCCTCAGATCTCAGCCTCCTGAGTAGCTAGGATTACAGGCATGAGCCTCCAGTGCCCGGCTTCAATTCATTTTTTTTTTTAAATAACTGACAATGAACTGCCAATAAACCTTAACAGAAATAGCCATGCAAATGTGTACTAACCTTCCAGTAGTCAGATTGTAAACTGTAGTACCTCTGGTATGCAGATAATGCTGAAAGAAAGAAAATAAGTATGTTACAAACATGTTCCATTAGTAATCAACAATTCAAGTTTTAAGGAACATTATTACAACAGGTACTTAAAAAGTGCTTTTGCGAAGGAAAAAAAACGCATTGATCATTCACTTGCACTCACAAGGTAACTAAAAGCCCAGCATCTATGTTATGTTTTATCAGGTCAGACTCTAGCTTAACTGGACAAATAGGCATGTTAATCATTTAAAGAATGCCTCTCTAAAACTTGAAGATACCTAAATCAATACCTATCAGTTTCCCGTTCAAGGCTGAAGGCACAAAGATAAGAGTAAATGAGGTATTTTACTGCTACCTTTTACAACAGTCAGTTCCAGAACCCTGAAACAGCACCTGAGGGCACCTTGAAATCCACAAAAGCCCAACAGACAGATCACCCTAGGAAAAGATCAACCCCAAGCAGGAACAATCACATCACAGGAACCTGATTACCCCTCAAGCAATACTTGTTTGGGGGTCACTTTATAGAGAACTGAGATAATGATCAACCAAGACCAGTCAGACCACAGTCTAATTATGTTTACCTATTATCCACTGTCCCTTAAGTTGATTAAACCTAATATCAGTATTCTAAAGATGGACTGAAATGTTTAAACTCTGCCTTCCCAAAATAGCCATTTTGATTTAAATCCAGAATTGCCTTTTCACTATTGCATTTGCTTGGGGGGTGGGGGGTGGGGAGGGACTGCTGAGGAGAGTGAATTCTAACAGAATTACCTGTTAGAACTGGCTCTGGCCTAGGATTCTGAAGTTACATTAATACCAAACTTCCCAATCCAAAACAGGACAACCCACCCTTTTAGAGGTATAAAAGACTTCAAAAAACTTAAAAATAGTATCTGACAGACTAAAAATTCAAAGAAATGAGGATTGAAAAATATAAAAACTACACATTTACATAAACTATAGTTGTAAAAAAAAAAAAAGATGCACATACTAACTAAACCAGAACCTTTACAGGAAAGACTAAGCACCTTACACCTTTCAAAGATCACCATTTGGTCCTGTAAATTCACACAGCTAGGACTGAGAAGCTTCCTAAAGATTAAGGCAGTAAAAGACCCTACAGAAGCACAGAAAAAAAGGTGTCACCAGTTTGAATATATTCTAATATGCTAGGGAGTTTTACAGATAAAGCAAAATTCAGCTATGTGCATAATAAAAGCAAACTGCAAACGGTTATACAAGACAAAACTCAAAGTAATAAAAATAATATAACTAATAGATCGTGATATTATAAAGAACTGAAACCAAAACCTGAAATCTTTTTTTTCAAAACCTGACATCTTAAAATAACATCTTGGTATATGTAAGAATTATCAAAGGAGGCCGGGTGCTGGTGGCTCATGCCTGTAATCCTAGCTACTCAGGAGGCTGAGATCTGAGGATCACGGTTCAAAGCCAGCCCGGGCAGGAAAGACCGTGAGACTCCTATCTCCAATAAACCACCAGAAAACTGGAAGTGGCGCTGTAAGCTCAAGTGGTAGAGTGCTCTCCTTGAGCTGAAGAGCTGAGGGACAGCACTCAGGCCCAGAGTTCAAGCCCCACGACCGACAAAAAAAAAAGAATTATCAAAGGATATGGATGACCATCAGTAGAGAATAGAATACCAACATTCAATTATATATAAGATAGTAAAATTTCTAACTCACTTCATATACTAAAACAACTCAAAGAAGAAAGACTTAACAATAGAAACAAACCCATAAAACTACTAGATGAAAACATCATGAAATAGTATTTTTCTGATGATCAGCTGGAGAACTAAAAATCTTCTGGTTTAAAGATACACAGGATAAAACAAGGAAGCTGAGGGAAAAAAGTAAGAAGCAGCTCCTACCCTCTACTCCCAAATCCAATCTTTGCTGCTTCTTACACAACCTGATCAAAAAGCGAGGAATAAGTTCTCCAGCAGAAAGTCAAAGAGATCATAATCAAGAGCCCCACCCACATGCTCAGAGGTCCTAGTTCTTAGGTAATGCACCTTCAAATACAGACAGCTAAGAATTACCAGGCATCTAAAGAAATCCCTAACCAACAAGAAGCACAGACAGAAAAAGGAAGGAAAAAAACAACATAATAAAGCAAGAAAACTCCTAGTCTGAATTTTTCATAAAGGAAAAAATACTACATGGAAGAGAAAGGAAGGATGGAAGAGACCAATAGGAACAAAGGATTGTAGGAAAAATGAGTAATTCAATAGAAAGATCAGAACAGGAAGTGGAAGAAACCATTCAAAAAATTGTAACAAGGACAGAAATTGGAGAAAATGTGTCCAGGAGTGATAATATTGACAACAGAACTCCAAAAAGAAAGATCAAAAAAAGAAAATTCAGGGGCTGAGAAGGTGGCTCAGTGGTAGTGCTTGCCTCACATACATGAGGCCCTGGGTTTGATTCCTCAGCACCACATAAGCAGAAAAAGCTGGTGGCACTGTGGCTCAAGTGGTAGAGCTCTCGTCTTGAGCTGAAGAGCTGAGGGACAGTGCCTAGGCCTGTCAAGCCCTAGGACCAACCACAGAGAGAGGGAGAAAGAGAGACAGACAGACAGAGACAGAGAGAGACAGAGAGACAGAGGGGGGGAGAGAGAGGGAGAGAGAATTCAGAGGAAAAGTAAACAGGCTCTGGTGCGTGCGTGCGTGCGTGCGTGTGTGTGTGTGTGTGTAAAATGAGAGTGAAAGGTTGGATATTGTCAAAATGTGTGTGTGTGTGTAAAATGAGAGTCTTGAAAGGTTGGATATTGTCAAAGTGTGTGTGTGTGTGTGTGTGTGTGTGTGTGTGTGTGTGTGTGTAAAATGAGAGGAAAACAGAAAGTATGAAACCTATTAGGAAAGGAGGATTGAGGAATAAATACATTGTATGCATGTGTAGAAATGTCACAAATGAAATCCCCCATTGTATAGGTGATGTTTGCTACTAAAATGGAGAATAAAACGAACAGAGAACATATTCAAAAATTCCATAAAAAATTCCAGGAGAAAGCTCATTTATTAATCTAAAAAAAAAATACAAAAGATGTCAACATCTAGAAATAAGGCAATGCAAAAACCCTTTCAAAATTGGGAAGGAAAATTCCTTCCTTCAACCCAAATTGTATGTCCAAATTATCTGTTTAAAGCGTAGAATACAGGTATTTTCCGATATACAAAGTCACAGTATTTTTTCCTAAAGAAAACACTAATTATGTCTCCTTTAAATGGAAAGAAAACACTAAGAAAGATAACGCAGATTACTGAAACCTAGAAGACACAAGAGATGAGAGCCCCAGGGAATACCCAAGACGAAAGAAAAGTATGATTTAGGATGGCAATGATGCCTAGAATCCAGGTCTGCTGAGGCCCATTATTAAATTCAGCTACCTTTTGTGACCTATTCTCAACCTAAAAACTGAGGTCTACCTAAGCCTGGATCAGATCCTTATCTGGGGTTGGCTTTTCTTGACTATGTTCTGATAAATTTCCTATCTCCCCTAATTCTAGAAAACAGATGAGAAGCCTCTCATTTTATCCCACAGAGGTGTTAAAGTACTCTACTTTGATCTAGGGTCATTCTTCTCTGATCACATTCCTGACAAATTTTCTTTTAGTTGGTTTATGTTAGTCCTGTTAGATGTCTTAACTACAATATTGTCTGTAAAGATTCGCACATGACCTAGCCTAATGCCGTCTCCCCAAAAGGGGGCTCTTGTAAACTGCTGAGCAACCAGAAAGCAAACTATAATCCAAAGTCTACTCTTTAGTTTGTTTCTGCTAGAGTCCCCTTATTGGGACAAGGCCTTTTCCTTATATAGCCATATTTGTGTTTGTTGCTCAGGGGTTTTAGTTGCTGTTGTTTGTTTGTTTTCATTCTGTTTTATTTTGTGAGCGGGTTTCTCAAGTCCCGGCTGACCTCAAACATGATCCTCCTGCCTCAACCTACCAAGTGCCAGGATTATACAGGTATGTGCCATCACATCCAGCTTACTGCTTGGTTTTCTAAAACCAAATATTATTGAAGCCAGATAAACCAAGGAAAATGAGGAATGTCAGCTTACAGCAAGAATAGGGGATATTCCTTCATGTACTTTCCTTAAGATTAAGGAAACAAAATCATTTTAGGGGAAATGAAGTAGGATGAACTGGGGAAAATAAGGAATGGTCAGCTTACAGCAGATATGAGATATTTCTTTATATACTTCCCTTAAGATTAAGGGAACAAAAATCATTTTAGGGGAAATGAAACAGGATAACTTAAGGAAACTGAGGCCCGATGAAGGCAACTCAGAAATATTTATCTAGAAATATAGAAGTTCCATTTTTGCTTCAAAGAGAGACAACAGGATGCATTCCTTCCTGAGGGATGCATTCCTCACACCAAGAAGTCTTGTCTGAGGGGATGGATGCCTTCCTGAGGGAAAGAAGAAAAAAGGGGGAAAAAAGTACTTCCTCAAACTTTAGCCACCTCCTGCCCCAAAATGCAAAGTATAAAGATATGTTTTTTCTTTCACTGTATTTGATATTGGTATAATTTGTGGAGGGAAAGGGAAAAAACAAATCGTTTAAATAGGGATACAGATGGACCCATTGCAACAATGAGATGTACGTGTCGTTATGTCGAAAACGAACTTTACAACTTTGGTGGGGGGGGATGGGGGAGGAGGTTTGGGTGGGGGCAGGGGGGGGGAGGATGGGAAGGGATAACAAAGGAGGAGGCTACAATGATTGATAAGAAATGTACTCATTATCTTGCCCATGTAATTGTAACCCCTCTGTACAGTATTTTCACAATAAATTTAAAAAAAAAAGATCTGTTTTATGGCAGGATGCATTCTTAACTGAAACTCAAAGTAACACCACATGTGATTAGAGCAAAAGACAAAGCACCTAGCTTCACATAACTTTTAAGCCAGACTCCCTGCCTTTATAAATACCCCAACAGCCCAAGGAACTGTGTGTGACTCTGTCTCTCCCTATGAGAGCACACACACTCTGTTAAAGTGTGCCCTGCCCTTCTGTGTGTTGTTTGTCTGCTTGCCTGCTCGTTTACTTAATTAAGCTCTGCCAAGTTTGCTTATTTAGTGACTTGCCCAGAAATTCTTATTCTGTAATCAAGGACCCTAAGTGAAGAATTCCTACATTTAAAGGAAGCTTCACTAACCCTCACTCACCTCCAACCAGTGACATTACCTTATTGAAGAATAAGATTTTTGTTTTGCTGTTTTGGGTGGTGTTGAGGTTTGGACTTAGTGCTTCATGATTGATAGTTAAATCAACTACTATGTGAGGGATACCTCCAATTCTTTGCTGTTTCTTTGTTTTGTTTTTGTTTTGACTGGCAAATGGATCAAAAACACTAATAATTTTGTAGATGCCAAACTCAACATTCATTATTAGAAAACAAATTATTTTGTTAAGATATGACAAATATCCCATGATGGAACATGTCATTTAGAAAGAGGTAAGAGATAGGTCTCTTATTTAGAGGAGAAGGGAGAAGGGAGAGAGGAGATTTAAGGCCTCTCCACTTTAGCAACTCTTGGCATGTAGTTTGTGTTATCTTTCCAAAGTGTCCACCAGGTGGATACACCAAACTGGCTCACTTTCTACTATGGTAGAAATAGGGCAGAGCTTTTCATAAGAAGGAGCAATACAACATCACACATTTTACTTAATGGTCAACTTAGAATGATTTACATTTTTCCATTTCCATCTATTCCACTTTTCTTCTATTTACTATACTCATGAGTTAATATCTTAGAAAAAAACAATGCTCTTGATGAAATGTAAAGTTATTTTAGATAGACATAAATTGAATAAAAATTAACAAGGCAAAAAAATTACCTTTTGAATAATCTTCCAATAAGAGGTTGAAATGACCTAATTGACAAAAGAAATCAGACTCCACTTTTCCTTCAGCTTTTAAGATGAGAGATTCATAGCAGCGAACAGCCTAGAAATAAAAATAATACATACATTTAAGAAAAACTGAAAATCCAGAATGCATTTCCTCTCTGATAATGCATATGTAAGATCCATTAAAACCACCTACAAATTAATACATTTTACGACTATCCAAGACATATTCATGGCATTACACAATTCTTAACTAAGTAATCATTCAAAGAGCTTCTAGTTAGAACTTAAGTGTCTTTTCCATCTATAAAACTGGAAACAATGTGCCAAACCAATCATGTAAGAGCACTATGATAACTTTATAGATTGTGAATCTAAATTATTACTGTAGCCCATATTGTTATAAACAACCCTGCTCTTAAATACAAAAAGAAAAGTTTCATCTTTCCTACAGAGGGAAGAGCTTTATTCAATAATGGAAGAATTCATAGAATCTTTACAGGAAAAAAAAAAAACTTAACTGAACAGCCATAAATTGCCTCAGTTGTTACTCTTTGTGATGTTTGGACATTAATTCTAACACTATTCCTAATCTTACCACACTCGAATATACATGTATACAAGCATTTGTAGCCACTCTGAGTCCCATACCCGGGAGAGAAAAAAAAATTACATTAAGAAAAGAAAAAGGGGAAAGGGAAAGAGAAAAGGAAAGAAAAGAAGAAAATCTGGAATTGACCACAAATTCCAATTGTCAGGTTTCAAATCCTGGGAACTTATCCTCTAATACTACAGTTTTAACGACATTCAAGAGAGACAGTAGGATTAAAATTAGAAAATTTCTCCAAGAGTTCATTGCAGTGCTTAGGACACAAAATTCTCTCTCCCCTCGCCCCCCTCTCCCCTTCTCCCCCTCTCTTTCCTCCTCCCCCCCCTCTCAAAATCAAAGCTTCAATGATGCTGCTAAACTTTCTTTCCTAGCCAGGCAGCCACTGGCTTCCATTTGTAATCCTAGCTACTCAGAAAGTTTTGACATCCAGAGGATTGAGGTTTCAAGCCAACCAGAGCAGAAGAGTTTAGGAGACTTCACCTCCTAAATAAACAGCAAAAAGCTAAGCAAGAGGCATGGCTCAAGTATTTTCTATAACAAACCAAGGGAGAGCTTCAAGCCCTAGAAAGGAGGGAGGGAGGGAGGAAGGGTAGGAGGAAGGAAGGAAAAGATTACCATTTAAGGTAAAAGATTATCTTAAATTTTCCTCTCCTAAGAAATACAGAGCCTTTGATACAGAGTTTCAAAAGGTATACCCTAAAATTTGCCTATCCCCAAGACTTAGCATCTCAGCAAGTATGGAAAACCACCATACTTAAAGCCTAATATTTATCAAATAACTATCTTCAGCTCCTATTACGCTCTTAGCTATCTAAATGTGCATATGTACCAAACCACAATCACTGAAAACTAATAATTCTGCTTCCCTATAATTAAAAGAGTCTGAATTCTACACTTAAGTCTTGGAAATTAGTATAATTTGGAGGCATGAAACGTCAAGATTCTCTTTACTTAAGTCATATATAATTCTTATCTGGCAGATAGAATAAGAAATACAATTTGCTATACTGATTTGTAACAGTACCAGAGAGAATCATAAAATTATGCGCTATGACAGTCCCTTCCTTAATTTCATAAAGTTTTCTAAAAAATGACACTGTAAATAAAGCCCTCATTAAAACCATTGTTTTCTTCAATTCTTAGCAAGATATTTAGATGCTTCTAGTTCTGACAAATACTCATAGATAGTAATATAAGCAAAAAAAAAAATAAGCAAATGCCTCATAAAGAAAAAATTCAAGATATAAACATAAGTAAATTTTCCTTAGTGATTTAAGCAAAAAAGATACCAATATCCTACACTTTTCATATCATCCCAGATGGCGCACTATTATCATGATTATCTATTGCCTATCTTTCCGTTACTGATAAACAAAGGAACACACCGAACATTAATGGTTGCACAACTCTGACTATCATGAAATATAACACCAGAATGGGTGAATTTTAAGTCTGCCTGCCCACAAACTTAGACTAGATTAACAAATTCTCAGTAATTTCCCCATAAAGCCATATGTACCTACAAAACTAATGGTGGTGAAACATGATGCTGACAGAGACAAATATCAAATGGAAAAAAAAGAGCAAAAAGGCAGAATAAATTTCCAAGTACTTTATGCTTCCATTTCATACTGAAACTTCATGAAGTTATTTGACATATTTGAGGTAATTCTGGTAGTACAGTCAAATACTGGCATCTAAAGGAAAAATAAATAATGGGTAATTTCCAATATTCCTAACCTCAAAATCAGCTAGAGTGAAACAGTAAATTTATAACAATGTATTTTTACTTAAAAGAAAGCTAATGATGAACATAAATGATGTATGATGTACAATTAGTTGTTTAGATTTAGAACAAAGTACAACTAAACTTCTTTATAAATCAAAAGTAATCCCTTTTAAGGTACTTTTAAGCCAAGTATGGTGAAGTAAATAAGCCTGTAGTCCCAGCTACTTGGAAAGGTGATACAGGAGGATGGTTCAGGCCAAGATGACAGACCAGCCCTGGCAACATAATGAGATCCCATTTCTAAAACATAAGGCAGAGACTTTTTTCCTAATGTTTATTTATGTCTTAACATTGCTGGGAAATGAATCCAGAACCCTGCACATGCTAAGAAGGCACTACCACCGAGCTTACCCTCTGCTCGGTAACATTAAAAAAAATTAGCTTACATACTTGCTCAAGTCAAGGTTTAGAAAATAAAGTCTATAGCTGGCTCATACAAAAACCTTATAATTATGTTCATTTTAGCTACTTCTAGTTTGTTTTGATAATTATTTCATTTATCCTTATAATATAAAAATACAACACTTTCAGTAGAAGTACAGTGGAAAATTTGACAATCATGTGTGGTAGAGCAACATCATTGGACAGAGCACTTTCTACAATGATAAAGATAGCCTATGATCTGCAGTTTACTAGACTAGTGCAAGTAAAAAAGTTAATACTTTGATAGTTATATTTAAATAAACATGTGCATAATAGATTTTTACCATTTTACTGTTTATATGTAGATCACTTTAAAGATGAAAGGAATTTGATATTTAGTCTAAATGCTAAATGTTAGGATAGTAATATTTCTTGCTCATCAATGGGCACTGGTAGCTCATACCTATAATCCTAGCTACTCAGAAGGCTGAGATCTGAGGATCACAGTTGGAAGCTCGCCCAGGCAGGAAAATCTTTCAAACTCTTATTTCCAATAAGTACCAAAAAGCTGGAACTGGAGCTGTGCTTCAATGGTAGAGTGCTAGCCTTAAGCACAAAAGCTCAGAGACAGCACTCAGGCCCCTGAGTTCAAGCCCCAGGACCAGCACACACACATGCGCTCACACACACGGGCACGCACATACACACACACACTCAGTCTGGAGGCTGGCTGCACAGCATTGTAAATATAGTTAAGAATATGGAACTATACAATGTACTTAAGAATACTGAACTATACAACTAAAAAGGATATTTTTTGTTTTGTTCTTTTGAGTGTTGTTTTGATACAAAGTTTCTCTATGTAGCCCAAGGTTGCCTCAAACTTCAGATACCCCTGCTTAAGTCTCCCAACTTCTGGGATTTTAGACATATACCAATATACCTTGCTACTCAGGGCCTAAGCATTTTTACTCAAGGGTGGGGGGGTACCACTTGAGCCACAGCTCCACTTGCGTTTTTTTTGTTTGTTTTGTTTTGTTTTTTCCAGGGGTCAGGGAGGAACCATGGAGAGGGAGATTAAGGGATGCTAACTGGAGGTAAGAATCTCATGGACTTTCCTGTCTGGGCTGGCTTTGAATCGTGATCATCAGATCTCAGCATCCTGAGTAGCTAGAGCTAATATTTACTATTCTTCGTTCATGGGATGTAGAATGCTAATGGATAAGTAATCATAACTCAAACGATGGGTTTCTAAGTACCATTTTTTTCAAATAAATTAGAACAGCTTCTACTGTTAAAAAAAAATAACTATTTGGGGCTGGGAAGGTGGTTCAGTGGTAGAGCGCTTGCCTTGCATGCCTGTGGCCCTGGGTTCGATTCCTCAGCACCACATAAGCAAAAAGAAAAAAGCCGGAAGTGGCACTGTGGCTCAAGTGGTAGAGCATTAGCCTTGAGCTGAAGAG